GGAAGCGCGAGTCCGCCGTCGACAAGTCCGCACAGTGACGGACAAAATGTCACGTCACAATATTTAGCGGAATCTATAACGATAAATTACATTTTGTGTATCAGTAGTCACAAACTAGAAATTATAAATATAATGATTTCATTGCCAAAGGCGAACAATTTACTATCTTAGAAAAACTCTGTATTTGAATTCTTCATAATGTGACTAAAAAGTAAGATATTGAAATAGAAAAAAATACACTTTATAGAGGATGAACAATACATTCATGGTCTCTAATTACAATTTCGAGATAACGTTAATCTTTTTTTTATAAGAACATTTTAAATATCACAAAAGAGCCATTTTTATACATTATTTCGAAAACCTGACGTGTTAGTGAAATGTAACCTGCGGCATCGTTTTCAGCATCCAAAAATGTATAAGAAACACCTTATCTATTAAAAGAAATATTTTTTTGTAAATTAATATCATCTTTATTCACAGTTTGTGAATGTAACACCAAATCCATTTATCGACATTACGATTTTATCGACAGTGGCGAAAATGTGATACGATAGTTCACATCAATGTATAAAATTGATATTGATGCCGCTAGCGTACGGTCGCTTTCGTCTATCACGTGAAAAAGGCCGCCATGGCCTCTCTCAGGTTTCTCTCTTATGGCCTTAATATATAAATAATAAACCAGCCCTAAAGGCCTAAACACAATGCGAGGCAATAGCGATAGCGATAGACATAGCGATAGCGATAGACATAGCGATAGGAACAGAGGAATCCAACATACAGGAATCCATAGGCCTGTTCTTTTTGGCTGAACTTTTGCACCAGTTCATCTTTCTTCCTCTTCTTTCCTCCTGGAGAGAAAAAGAAGAAAGATGAACTGGTGCAAAAATTCAACCAAAAAGAACAGGCCTCATATGTCAATGCACATAGGAATATGGAATAACGATAGCGATAGCGATAGCAATAAATTTCCGACGAGTTGGAATTCTGTGTCTATCGCCTTATAGCCTGTTATAGCCTACCAATCAGCATTCAGATTTTACATTCTGTTCTTCTTCTCCGCTATTCGCGAACCGAGATATTAATCGTTAAAGTTCACGACTATTCCGGTTAGGATATCTGTCATACCTTCACTGCTTTATCTGTCACTGTTTTAAAAACACAAAAGTACTGTCTACAAACACAAAAAGTCACTTTTTTAAAAACACAAAAATGACTTTTTGTGTTTGCAGACAGTACCTTTGTGTTTTTAAAGCAGTGACTTTTTGTGTTTTTAAAACAGTGACAGATAAAGCAGTGAAGGTATGACAGATATCCTAACCGGAATAGTCGTGAACTTTAACGATTAATAACTCGGTTCGCGAGGCAAAGCGACGTTTTTTTCTGCCAGATTCTTTCGTTTTATGCAAAAACGCGTCGAATGAATATAATTTTATCG